ATTCAATGGAAAGCATCCCATTCATTGAAAAGTTTTTCCAACTCAATGTAAAGATGCATAAGAAAGATAACCACGGGGACAACATCTTCCATTATGCTGCCAGGTGTAAAAATTGTGAGATTATCAAGGTTTGTTTGATTTTTTGCTCATTTCTTATTTGATTCTTTTCTGATTCAGATGTTTGTTTTGTTTTAAAAATTCCTCACCAACTTGTCATTTGTTGTCTGTTGGCAGACTTTTTGTATCAATTATTGTGTTCAGATAAATTGATTGCTTGATTGTACAAGTGATTGCTTGATTGATTGTACAAGTGAGTGCTTGATTGATTGTACAAGTGAGTGCTTGATTGATTGTACAAATGAGTGCTTGATTGATTGTACAAGTGAGTGCTTGATTGATTGTACAAGTGAGTGCTTGATTGATTGTACAAGTGAGTGCTTGATTGATTGTACAAGTGAGTGCTTGATTGATTGTACAAATGAGTGCTTGATTGATTGTACAAGTGAGTGCTTGATTGATTGTACAAGTGAGTGCTTGATTGATTGTACAAATGAGTGCTTGATTGATTGTACAAGTGAGTGCTTGATTGATTGTACAAGTGAGTGCTTGATTGATTGTACAAATGAGTGCTTGATTGATTGTACAAGTGAGTGATTGCTTGATTGACTGTACAAGTGGTTGATTGCACAAATCAGATGTTGGCAACAAAGGATGCGAGCATGTTGAACGAGCTGAACAACATCGGGGAATCAGCCCTGCACGAGGCCTGCCTCAACAAACTGCCTGATAATGTCAACATGCTTCTCCAGTTCGAATCACTGTTCATTATTTAACAAGAGCAAAATAACACATTAATTTTAATTTTAAAGTTTCAAATCAGTTGAATTTTAATTTATATTGTGACAGAATTGTAATCTCCAAACACATTTTTGGTTGCAATTTTACAATATATGTAGATTTAATTAATAACTCAATTATTCTTTATTACAGTTTTTATGATAGGAAAGCTGATCATAAACAATTTTGTAGCATGCGTCAGTTTAGCTCCATCTCATGTATATTTAGTTTCTTGCATCATCTTTATTCAGTGTTAATTTTAGAAACAAATAACTGTCAGGATGGGTGCAAATAGTTCATTGTCTGCCTCATACAGATACCCTGTCCACTGTGCCATGCAAGTTGACTGTATCAGGTTTCATTCATAACTTTGTTCAAGTCTTCTTCATTATTTTTCAGAAACTGTTTTGGCATGGATTGAATGAAGTTATAGAATGACTGTTCTCAAAAGATTTCTTGTGCACATAGATTCTAGAGGGTCAAATAGTTTAAGACATTGAATCATAAACTGTAATGATATTGACGATTATGCTAGAAATTTTGACTTAGATTGTGAAATGCATGCACTACGTTTTACTGTTTATTTATAATTTATTCTTCTGGTTGCTTACACAGTTGCGTGGAGGTGCTGCATGAATATGACAATGACGTCCTGAAACTGGCTGAGAAGATTTACGGCAACACTGCCATGCACTGCTTAAAAAGCAAGCAGGTCGGACATTGGTCTCATATAGGTCATTTATTCTAATTGTTTCAAAGGTACCAACAACACAGTGTATTCGAATGCGGACAGATGGAAACCATACATACATCATCTTTACTTGTATTGCATACAAACGACGAAATTTTAAACTGGCGCTACTTTAAGTTTTCTGTAGTAGTAGTAATAATAATAATAATAAGAATAATAATAATAGTAATAATGATAATAATCGGTGGATAGCTCCATGCATTCAAACCTGATCACTGCAAAACAGGACCAGGTGCCTTCAACATTTAACCCACTTCCAAGCACAATTTGTAGTAATTGGACATTACCATAGTAGTCCTGGCTTAAGCCACTAGTGTACTTTATTTTATTTTACCATTGTTGTATTTCTTCTGGCTTATATTGCCCTTGTTTGGTTTTATGTGCCCTTTTCCTCGTTGTACTCGTTTTTTGATTGTGTTGTTGAATTCGGTTGCTTTTTTCTTTTCCACCATTAAGCATTACGATTTCATTGTCATTCAAATAGCTACAATGGCCAGCATTATCACAATGCTATCATACATTATCATCATCATTATATCATTATTTTCCTTGCCATCATCTTCATCATTGCTATCCTCCTCATCTTTCTCTTCCTCATCTTTATCATCATCTCCATCGCTGTAGATGTTTGAGTTTTTGCGATCGAAAAATTGCTGCCTGGACGAGAAGAATAAGGTCGGTGACACTCCCATCATGACTAAAATCAAGGAAGGTAGTGGATTGACTCCTTGGCTGATGCGTCCGTTCATTCCTTCGAATCATTCCAACTATTCACCATTTCATCTTAATTGTCATTCAATTCTCATTGCGGTGTGATTTGTTTTGAATAAAACTTGCGGTTATAATTCATAAATAATTATTGAATAATTAATAATAAAAAAGTAAATAATAAAAAAAATGATGATAATAATTAAGGTCATTCTTTTTAGATAAACTCACAACGTGTGTAAAATAAATTCTACCGAATGTTTGGCGTTAATATGTTTGTAGTTCGTTTTTTCGATTTACATTAACCACACGAACCACAAACATATTAACGCCAAACATTCGGTAGAATTTATAGAATATTGTAAAAATTATGGTCTACTACCCACACACCTTTATATTATTTGTATATTCCCTTTGTAATCATCTTTCTTTAAAATTTCTTAGCATTGACCAGGAGTAGGTATACATTTTGCATAACATTTACTTTTATATCTAAATAAAATTAAGCTGAATCAATATTATATATATTTTATATAATATTAAAAGTTTTTTTATTTAACCATAATAAACTTCATCAAGAGGATAAAAGTCTTGTTAGAAAAATTGAGAAACTCAGCTGCAAGTTGAATAATGCCGAAAACGCAGTGATCTTCATAAATAATTGTATTTATGATTGTCTAAACCCAATATATATGTATATAATATATATATATATATATATATGTTAAATGTAATTTTAATAAATTTTTACATTTCAAGTATTTTTGTGTAGAAATTCATTTGATAAATATACTCATAACAAAAATATAACAAAAATATACTCATAATAAAACGTACGAAGTCATTTGATAAATACTCGTATGTGTGGAAATTGGTTAAAAGGTGAAATGTCACATCTGCTGCATTTGCTAGTTGCTGGGGCACGTGTGGACATAAGAAACAACAAAGGTGAAGGTCCTTTACATTTGGCTATTGAGGTTAATTGGTTCATGTTGTTGTTGTTTGTTGTTGTGATGATGTTGATGTATGCATAAATATATGGTTATGATTTTATTGTGTTTACATGTCGTAGTTTAATGACTTAATGCCATGATGATGCGAGTTTTATAACCATGTAATAGTGCAAGGTTGAACCTCTTCACTCTTGTAAGATGCTCTGTCAGGAGAACTTTAGCTGCCAACATGGTAAACAAATAGCTACAAACTTGGTAGTGGCAAACTTTCTAATAAAAAAAAGCACACCCCATCATTTTTTTGCCACATTTGTGGAGTTTCTAAAATTTGTGAATTTGAATGTTTGAGAAATTTAATAAATCTACTCGACATATATTTATATAATGCCTGTTGTGTATCCCATTGCTTCAGAGACCACTTGAATTAAAGATTACTAAAGTTCTGAAAATATAATAAAACAAATGGGTATTTAACATGTCTATATGAATATATATTTATATAAACTTATATAGTATATATGAGTAGAGTATATACATATATGAGTATATATAGTAAATATATGAGTATATATATATATATATATCGCCACTATCTCGATCAGACTGACAGACCAGAGTTAGTCAAGATGATGATAGTGTTTGGGGCAGACGTGAACCAATGTGATGCAAAGGGTATCTCACCGAGGCACAAAGCCGCTGGCTCTGTGATGCCCAACAAGTAGGTTGCTACGTGGCTCTAGCTATTTTCATATAAATTTATTTCATTCTGGAAGGG